GTACTGGGAAAAAGCATGGATACCGCCTCTGGATTCTGAGTTGCTGGCTCCTGCTTCTCTCTGAATGACCGTTAAATATTTTTTCTTTTAGTACATCTTTTTATTTTTTGGCTATTCACTCCATCTGGTTGAAGGTGGATGTCTCAGAACTCTATGGTTGTTACATACCCTATATCTGAGGAATTAATCTAAAGTAAATTAGAATTTGTCAGTCCTAATTCCCAATTCCTGAAAGATAGAATGTAATTTCTCCAGCTTTAATCTGGTATCCAATCAACTATAGGCACGGAGTCAGGGCATAAACACAGCTTCCTGAAATCCATCCTGTGAGTGAGGGATTAAAGGTCATGTGCCATTTTGAGGTTTATAAGTACCCCCAAAAGTATCTCCTTTATAGAGTAGCTGTTGATTATGGGATATTAAGAGGTATTGTGGAGATAGAATCAATGGACCTCGGAAGCCAATTGAATGTAAAAGGAGAGGAGAGGAGTCAAAGATACTGAAAGTAGAGTCAGAAAAACTTGAAGGAGAGCAGGGACAATTTATTCAAATAGGGAACAAAAAGATAATGGTTCTGCTTGGATGTATATTGAGTTTAAGGTTCTGAGGTGACATCTGAATGGCAGTTGGTAAAATGGGCTAGAATTCAGGGAAGAGATGAGAGTGGAGATTTTAATTTTTCATTTATTTAACTGAAGAATTGATCTGAGTTCCTTTATTTTAGTAGATACTCTTTTAGGCCTTGGCAATATAGCAATAACCAAGATAGACAAGTGGTCTTAAGTCAGGTAATTGTATACTCCATGGTTTCATTAACAGGCTTAAGAAAATCTATGAACCTCTTCAAATAATAAAAAAAATTCTTATATATTATGGTCTGAATGTTTGTGTCCTCCCAAAATTCATATGTTGAAATCCTAACCCCCAATGTGATTGTATTTGGAGGTGGGTCTTTGGGGAAGTGATTAGATCATGAGGGTGGAGCCCACAGGAATAGGATTAGTGCTCTTTAAAAGAGACCCTAGAGAGCTTCCTTGCCTTTTCTGCCATGTGAGGACATAGTGAGAAAACAGCAATCTGTGAATCAGGAAGCAGGTCCCCATCAGACAGAGAATATACCGAGAACGAATGTTAGACTTCCTAACCTCCAGGACTGTAAGAAGTAAATATTTGCTATTTAAGCTACCCAGTCTGTGGTTTTTATTATAGAAGCCCAAATAGGCTAAGACAATATGTATAGGCTTATGTGTATTTTACTGAGAAAAGAAGTTCCTGGCTGTCAACAGACTCTCAAAAGAGTACATGACTCCAAAGGAGTGAAGAATTACAAGTACAAAACTATCTTCAGGCAGTAAAAGAGAATATATAGAAAGAACAGAGGCTGTTCATTGTCAATGTATCAATTAACACCAATGCCTACAGTGTGGGAAAATGAAGAAAAAACCAGAAAAGAAGCAGCCAAAAACAATTGAACAGAATAAGATTTTGAAGCATTACCCAATGTATGATGTTCTTCCTTCTTGCCAATTCCTACTTATGCACAATTGACTATAAACCCTGAGACTGAGTCTTAATGTGATAAGAAAACAAAGAATAAAGGGGGGAGAAATCTCAGCAAGAAAAAGATTACTCTTTTTGAGTTTCAAAAGAAGTCCTTGAAAACCAGTGATAGATACACTAACTTTGAAAGAGAAAACTTTTTTAAAAACACCCCCAACACACACACACAGCTAAGAGTCAGGTGGACTCAGAGCGCCTCCTTCTTTCAGCTATAGAATCGCTAAGAATTTATGATCATTTAAGAGAAGATTTTGTACCATAGAGAGAGAGAAGTGGAAATCCTTTCTGGGCTTAGGAAAAGAGAAGCCTAGAGAGGAACAGGAAAGGAGAGCAAGGGATGCCAGTGAGCTCTTGTCTCAGGGTCAAAATCTGTGTGGATGATTGAGATGTCCAGTTGGGTTTGGGGACTGAGAAACAAGAGGCCCTGTGTTTCTTTTTCAAACTATGGATGGAGATAGATTTCCCAAGGGTCTTCTGTCAACACGGAGTAATCAGAGGAAAGTAGAAATGTCTCCTGGGCAGGTGTAGGCAAAGCATGGATTGAGATGGCTTCTCTCGGCTCTCTCCACTCACCTTCCAGACTTTAGATTTCTTTCAGAAATATAAGAGATCCCAAAACATTCTGTGTGTCTAATAAAACATCAGGAATAGCTGACAGTTGAGAAGTAGTCTTCTGGCAAGAGGTTACCACAAAAAATAACAGGTCAAAATGACGTTACTAAAGAATAAAATGAGGCCAGGAGAGCCTTTTGCAGAAGCTTCAGGGTGGCCATCGAAAACTGTAAATGAAAGGAGGATGTGACTAAGTCTGAAAGGATCACAGTGCCAACCATCATGAGGTAGGGGTGAGTCAGCACAGGCAGACCACCGAGTTTCCAGAAACAGTCACATCTACTTGCAGAGCAAGAGAACAGGCGTGTCATCAAAAGCGAATTCCAGCAGAGACATCCTCTCCCATGTGAGAAGCAAAAGTAAGCCCCTCAAAGTTTAGATCCATCTGAGGAGAGGGAAAAGAGAATGCAGAGGCAAGAATTAAGAGATTTGTGCTTTAATACAGAAAAATTTCAGTGATCCTAATTTGGTAAATTAAGTTTTTCAATATTAATGGACATATATGTCACTAGAAATAAAATAAAATTTCATCTTCATTTGCTTAAGCTACATGATGTATAAAATTTGTACCTGCTACCATAGAAATTAAATCAAGAATGTCCTTACCTTTTGTCTTCCAGTTGGATTCAGTCAATGCGAGGTACCAGGAGACTAAAATGAGGGTATTTATTCCTTATTCTCTTCCTTTGGTGCTATGGTTACAATTTCTTTCCTCTGTTGATTACAGCTCCAGTCAGCCTCTCTTTTATGGCTCCAGTTGTTTAGCTCCTATAACATTACTTCCTCTCCTATAGGTCTAGGGATGAAATCATTTCTCAATGTTGCTTGTTGAATTCTTTGACTATTCTACTCTATAAATAATTCTTTAATTAAAATCACTTCAACTAAAACATCTGAGAGGAAATCTGTTTCCTACTGGGATCCTGACTGACACATTTGGGAATGAAAGACATGATCGAAAGTCAAAACATGAGATTTGATAGAAGAGATCCTCAGGTGTAAAAATGATAGGCACCATCTGGGAAAAGTTAAATAGTTGATTCCTAGGAAGAGAAATGAGCTTGAAAGAAGAAAGTGATGAGCTTAAGCATGTAAATCAACCAAGACCAAAAAATTTCCCTCGGGATATTACACTGACAGTTCTGGACATACTAATCAACTTTTTCTGGTTCTTGGAATCCAAAGTTTTACTGAATCTTTGGAACATGACATTTTCACATCCTATAACAAAGTCACTCTTTTCCATCCTCCTCACCATTATTTTCTTTTAAACTTTAGGCCAGGGCTTTGCTATCACCTACTACTCAGTGAGGCTTTTCTGACCATGCTCTCTCAGGTAGAGAATGCCTCATTATTATAGATATCAGCTCATTGTTTGTGCTCTTTATAAAATTAATAACAATTTGCAGTTATTTTATGCATGTTTGTTTACTCTTCTATTTATCACACCAGAATGTAAGTTTCACGAGGATAGGGACTATGTCTGATTTGTTCAACATTGTATCCCTAGAGCTTAGAATAGAGCCTGGAAGATTAAATATAATCAGTAAATATTCATTGAATAAGTGAATTAATGAATAAAGGTCAGAGATTAATGATATGCATACTATACTTTTACTTTTAAGTACTTGTAGCCAGCTATTTAAGACATTACTCTCTGAAACTATCACATGCTCAAAAAAACTCATTCTGCAAATACAGGGAATAATAGCTGGAAATGCTTGAGCTAAGTCCCTGGTTAAAAGAGTGTCTTGGGTGCAGTGAAAAAAAAACATAGACTTTGGAACCAACAGTCACGGGGTAAATCTCATGTCCTGTTGTCTGTTGCTCTTTGGCCTTGGCCAAGTTATTTATTATTTCTGAACCTCAGGTTCTTTATCCTTACACAGAGATAATAATTCTAACTTGTTGATTGATAGACAAGGCACTTGACAACAATGTGGACTCAGTAGATACTACTATTAATGCCAATATAATTATTCTTTAATAAAATGTTTACATTTTCATTGGTCAACAATCTTAACTGTCTTATTCAGTTGTATTTGTTGTGCCTATAATACTGCCTAACACTTTCAGATGCTTGCTATTTGCAAATGAATGTTAAATGAATGAATATTTGCACTTTAAGAATAATAATTAAAATAAGACTTATTCATACATTCTGATGAACACTACATATACATCATCTCATTTTATATCTGCATGAAGTAGATACTATTATTTTTCCCATTTATAAGTAAAAGAACTGAAGTTAAAGAGAAAAAGTAAGTTATCAAGTAAAGACTATAAATGCCTCCCTCTCCGATCCCATCAACTCAAACCCCGTATGAGAAGAACGGGTATCAGTAGCTTGGCATACACCTTCCAGAGGGTTGCCAAGTCATAAGCTTAGTGTTTTAAAACTTACTTGAGGATTTTCAAAGGTCTTAAATATAATGTCTTATATTGCTTTTCCAAGGCCATTTAGTGCAGTTATGCACCTCCTATCCAAACCTACATATTATAACCTGTAAGAACTTCGAACAATAATGTAGTTGCTAAAAGACTACATCTGCAAAATGAATAAATTATTAACTTTACTTAAAATACATTAAAAATGTATTATAATGAGAAATCTCCGATACCTATATTTGGTGGCTCAGCTGCATCTCTGATACATAACCAGCATCATTAAAGAGGAGGAGACTTGAAGTTAGATAGAACTGGATTTGTAGCCTGGCTCTTCCACATATTAAACAAGTGATCTTGTCCAAATTTTTAGGCTCTTGAGTCCCAGACTTTCGTTTGCAAACTAGAGTTAATAGTGTCAGTGTCACCCAGTAACTACAGATATTAAATAGATAATCTACATGATAGTAATTTGCTCAGAGTCTAGCAAATGGTGAAGTTCTATGTAAATGCTCAATTTTCTTTCCTTTCAGTATTTCCCCTGCTGTCTTAACAATTAAGTAAGTATTTTGTATTCTGTATTTTTTTTTACCAGTTTTTTTATTTAGTCTTCAAAGTCAAGGTAAAATACTTTAATTCAGTAGTTTAAGAGAAAGTTCTACTGACACCATTTTATCATGTCTTTTTCTCAATAAACTACAAAACTTGGCCTTCAGATTTACACATCAGATTTTTACGAACAAAGCATTTATATTTTAATATAAGCATGAAATAATTAGAATCTTTGATATTCGTCTTTCAGCATGTTACGTGTAGGTAGAAACTCCTTGGATCTGCTAAAATATTTAGAGGGTTTGGGTTGGTTGGTTTTTGTTCCCCCAAAGCCAGAGGTGGAGGATTGCATTATCTAAAACCAACAGGAAATGATTCAGATCAGGGCAATCTCTAATACCTCAAGTTTAGGACCTTTTATCAAAAGGTGTTTCCTTTGTTGATTCATTTGTTCAAATATGTGTTAACCATCAATTATGTATCGTGCTCTGTGCAAGGCACTGAGATAAGCAGTCCATGCCCTCAGGGAATCTCTAACCTGGAAGGGTGAGAAAGGTCTGTGAAGGTAAATAGTCATAATGCAGTATAAACTTTAGTAAGTATTACAGGGATGTTGATGTAAAGAATTAGGAGATTTCAAAAGAAAGAGAAATTATTTCCCATTGAGAGGAAATGAAGAGTTTTATATGTTTAGTGAAGAAAGAGCTCAGAAGATGTTGCCATTAGGTCAGGCTCTGGAAATGCATTAGTGATCTAGAATCTCAATCAGGGGAAAAAGAGCTTAGGTGAGAAGGGTACTTTGGTCCTAGAAGCCTCAAAGGCTCCAAGGACACTGTCAATCACAGGTTGGTATGGGAGAGCACTTCGTGCACTTGGTCCATCCTCAGTTGTGGCACGAGTCACATTGCATTCTAGCCATTAATTTTTCTGAATTTCTCGCTAGCCGATGAACTACTGGAGGACAGAGACCATGTCCTTCTTTTCTAGTACATAGCCAGGCTCTAGAAAATTACAGACACTCAATGCATAACTGTGTTAAAGACCTACCAAACCAGAGAAGCCAAGAAGAAGAATGGATTTGAATGTTGCCTGTGTAAACTCCCCACAGACAGAAGTTTTGGGGATTTGGCAAGGATAGTGCACTCAGGTCATGCAGGCAAGAGACTGTGGATGAATCACTTTCAGAAAAGGCCGGGGCTGGCTGGGCTACAGTGACACACTGAGCCCTTGGGAAGGTGAGACTGCGGCATTACTCAGCCTTGTTCACTGAAGAAAGCTCTATTCTTATCTAGCCTCTGGCTTGAGGTTAGTTAGTGGTAGTGATGAGAGACTTAAATTAGGCAAGTAGGGGTGAAGATACCTAAATGAGAAAAAAAGTTTTGAGGTGAAGAATTGACTCAAGAGTAATAGCTTAGAGAATTAATTTCATTTATCTCCCAGATCTTCTGACTATATATTCTCCTAAAGGAGTAAGTGGTAATTCTGAAATTATCTGAAATTCTAAAGGGATAAACAGATAATTCTTTAAAGATAATAGAGAAGATAATTTGGAGAACCTCTGTGCCCTTTTTTGTCTCCCGAAAAGTCATTGACAAAAATATATCATTGGCCCCCTAACTTGCTGTAAGAATTCAGAATCTTCTCTGGAAAAGGGTTCAGAAATCTGCATTTTAAGCACACACTTCAGATGATTCTGGTATACACTAAAATGTGTGAATCATTGCTACATTCTGTAGCCTTTAAGAACCAAAGAGGGCCTCTCCTTATGTTTGAAGATTAAGCTACTAAACCTATGTTTTGTGAGGCCTCTTTCTGCTATCAGCCTGGAGTTGAGAACTGGAGGAAGAGAAGGCAAGGCTGAAGGAGACAAAATAAGCATCAAAGGCTGGCGCACAGAGAGGTGTTGGAGTTATCCTAGGAGCTAAATAAAAGAGACATAACAAGCTGGAAATCATTTTGGCAGAGAGACAAAAAGAAGAGAATGCAGTTGCCAAATAGCTAATCAATGCATGTGGTTAAAACTCCCAGTTAAAAATGAGGAACCAGATTTGCAAAAATAAAGAGAACCAGGCAAATCAGGGAAGTGGTAGAGGAGAGCTGGGATGGCTACAAAATGCAGGATAGGATCTAACTATACAAAACTAACTTTTTCCTCAGACAACAGCCTTTTAATATTTTCTGTAATAACAAGAACAAGTAGAATATACAGTAATAAGCAGCCATGAATTCCCTCCCAAGAAACAATGTCCAGTTTGAGTTCTCAAGTGCAGTAGAATTGCTTGACTAATAGTTAACATGTATTAAATACTTCTATGTAATAGGTATAGTTTTAAACATCATTTAATCCTCACAACAACTCTGTAGAATAGGTACTTATTAGTATAGCTATTCTATAGACGAGAAAAAGAGGGTAAGCAACTTGCTCAAGTTTATGTAGCTCTGAAGGGCAGAGCCAGGATTTGAACCCAGGCAGGCTAGATCTGGAGTCTGAAGTCTTAACCATTATTTTATATGTTCAGATGCAGAATAGATATGTTTATGGCTATTACACAGAAATCTATTCAGTTACAATAAATTATTGACTCCAGTTTATCATTTCTGTTACAAATTCTGTAAAATTAGTAGAGAATTTAGTTCTCTGCACAGAATGATGTACTGTTTATGTTTAAAATGCATACAATGTAATATGTAGAAATGCTAACATTTGACATTACATCTATCATATCTGTAATATAATGTCATTTTCACAAAAAACAACGCCAGCGTAATTTTCATAATAAAAAGGTAACCAAAGAACCTCCAGAAATCCAACTGTATGTGTTGTGTATAATTGATTTCTACTGTTTTGCTCAGCATATGCTCTTCATTCAATTTTAGCTCACAATTTGTGGACTTGTTCAAGCATTTTTTTAAATATACTTGTGCATGTACATGTAAAAATCTGTTCTTTTATCTCACATCTCTAGAGTTTGACTTCCTGCTCGAGACTTCAGTGCACACCACGGCCAGAAGGGAAGGTGGAAACGTAAAGAAAAGAAGACCAGGTTGATTACAAAAACATAATTTGAAAACAAAATGGAGCTACCCTGAAACTGAATAAAAAATTAATGAAACAGAAGAAAATTTTCTAAAGATTTATTATGGTTTTATGACACAATTCTATTTATATTTACGAGTCATTTTTTTCTTCTTAATGTCCAGCATTCGAGGATGCCCCCGGTAAAGTCTAACCTTTCAAAATGCACTTGACAATTGTTGGTGACTGGTCAATAGTTACCCTTAACTAAAAGTTATGTTCTCATTTCTCATACGTAGTTGAAATCCCTTTTAAGAGAGAAGAAACTGAAACCACACACACACACACACACACACACACACACACACTACCGCACATCAGAAGTCAGAGCAACAGAAACAGGGACAGAGACAAAGTTGTAGAGAACAATGTGAACTTTGCATTTTCCTCCAGAATCTGGAGATAAAGACCAAATCAGTGTGTATTAATTTTATGTGAACACATTTAATTTTATACTTTCTTCTAATAAACTGCAGATTATTGGTTTGGAAGGTTTCACTGTGTCCAGTTGGAAATGTAGTCCAGTGCATGATAAATACAATAGCAACTAATGAATGTGAAAATCCAGTATAAACTAAATTATGGCAGCAAAGAAAAATGTATAAAACACGTGTTCTGATATAACTCTATCATAATATCTACTTTTCTTTCACTTTCTGTTTTCTACTCTCTAATAAGTGGTTATGAACCCCCCGTGCCCAAAAAGCTGTTTCAGCAGCTTAACAGCAAAACTGTGTTCAAATGCAGTTTTTACTCTCTCTACTTACCACAACACCACAAAGGCAGCTTTTTCTGATGACTTCTCTCATGCTTGCTTGCTCACTTTCTTTCTCTCTCTCTCTTTCACACACACATACAGAACAAATAAAATGAAAACACCTCTATATTACCTTAAGATATTTTCCTTTTTCTTCTTTGCCTTTTTTTTTGTATCTTCCTTTCTTCGTTCTTTATCTGATTTTTCTTTTCTGTTTTTTTCTTTTTAATTTTCCTATTCTGCCTGACTTCCTAAATATCCAAGATTTGTAAACTAGACAGGTAACTTTTACCTATCACGGTCTATGCATCAGGCTGTACAAACAGCTCCCAGAAAGTCACGTACAGAACTAGGTGAGGAGAGACCTGAGATGTAAACCATGTTGGCAACTAACACAGTTCACGTAAAATATAATTTTTAATTGAATAATGGTAATATCATTTGCAAGTTCCACTCACCTGATATTTAAATGGATGGTTTCTTCAGAAATAAAGAGCCTCTAATTGAAATTATTAATGTGTCTGAGTCAGGTCTACTTTTGGAAATAATAAACAAAAATAATCTAAAATTTATTTGCTCTTGGGGTTCTGGAGAAAGGTTAGGAATACAAGAATTGAAAGAAACTAGAAGCAGCTCTCATTTTCTCTTACAATGTTCTTCAAATTGGAAATTTTCCTAGTTTAAGAAGATAATTACCTTTTTTTTTTTTTAAAGATTCAGTGACTTCCATGTTGGCATTTGTAATTTTGTACATCATAAACCATGAGTTTCTATTCTGTTATGTAAAATAAATCAGGTATATAAGAGATAATCTCTTTGCCATTCTCTAAAATTAAATTTCTCGGTTTTTTGAAGATTTAAGAATACACATCTTGAAAATAAAAAAAAAATTATACGAAAAAATGGAATTATAAGGCCATTAAACCAAATTTATAGAAGTTTATTTTACTTGCTATTAAAAGCAGTGTTGTACCAAGAAACATGAATATTTCACAGAGTTCAGTGGTCAGAATCTGCCCTGTGCGAGAAAGATGAATCAGCAAATTCTCTGGGAACAATTGGTTTACTTTTTTTATTTGAATTTTCTTTTTTTTTTTTGGAATATTTCATCAGCATCACACATAAATCATTTCTTCTGGCATTAAATGACACTGTGCTATGCTGCAACAAACCCTATCTCTATACTTAGTTAACTCAATAAGTACATTCATTTTTTCTCTGATTCTTCTGGATTATTACATGGCACATCTGAGTCACTGATGTCACTCACACCTCAGCACCAAGTGATCAATCAATGTGATTATTCCCTCCTTGTTCCAGTGAAATTTAGGATTGGCACAGCAAAACAGGCAAACTAGACCTAGTGGTAAAATTAGGTTGGCAAGTATTTTTCAGTGTTTAAAGAGATTTCAATGCATTTTATCAATACAGAGAGTTTTATTATTCTCTGTATGACCAGTACCTTACACAACACTAGCCACACATTTGATTCTCAAGAATGTTTGTTGAATAAATGAATAATATGCAAAATTCAGCCATCATTTATTTTTCTATTTATATATCAGCCTGATGTGCTATTTGGTGTTAATGCCAACTTAGGATGCCTGCATTCACATGTGCAAATGCTTTTACTCAGATGCACAAATGCTTTCACTCAGAAGTCACAGTCTTTCCTAGTGTGAGACAGGAGTGAGAGGCAGAATAGAGACTGGCAACATTAACCCAGCATTAATCCTGGGTGCTGATTCTAGGATCCATACTTTATATATGCTATGGCGTTTGGTCCTACAGAAACACTGCAAGAAGAGCTTTGTTATCTTCATTTTACAGATGAGAAAATAGGTTCAGAATGATTTGATCCCAAAATCCTTTCTACAGACAACTGGGTTAAGATTAGAATTTAAACAAAAGTTATAATGCATAACAAGTTGGTATCATATGATCGTGGCTGAGAAGTTACCACGTAACAGAGAAGAAAGAATTATATGAATCTTATTAATTTACTTTCTATTTAAGGAAACAGACACACTATAAAATATTTAGACAAGTCTTGGAATTCAGTCTTTGCAGGCCCCAACACATATCCTCAATTACATTTTTAAGTACTAAGTTTTATTAGAGAAATAAGACTTCCTGAGTTTTCCTGGCTTATTTCTAACTGCATTCCAAAAGATTTACATAAGATTTATTCAGGGTGAAGCTCACGAAAGTTTCCTATTTATTTATTTATTTATTTATTTATTTATTATAGTTTTGACATACAACATTATATTAGTTTTAGGTGTACAACACAGTAGTTAGATTTTTATATTATGAAACAATCACCTCAATAAATCCAGTACCCTCTTACACTATACATAGTTATTACAATACTACTGACTATATTCTCCATGCTATACTCTACATCCTCATGTCCTTTTTATTTTTTTTAAGCTCATGTCAAACTGAAAGAGAAGTCAGAAGAGACTTCTATTTTTTCTATAGTAGCACTCAAATGGTATGTACAGATAGAGCTGTAGTTTTTATTTGTATATATTTTTTTAAATCACAAACAAAATTAAAAGTTTCAGATAGATTGGAACAAATATTTGAAAGAGTTATGACAAACTAGAGGTTAAAATCCTTATATATAAAAGGATTTTGTATATTAATAAGAAAATCAGTAAGACCACTATGCATAGGAAAAAGATAATTGCAGTTTACACAAAAGGAAATTTAAGTGGCTTAATATTTTCAAATATTTAACATTGCTAGTAATTAAAAATGAAAACTAAAACAATAATTCAATTTTACATTCTTCTATTAATCAGCATGCTGATTAACTTATTTTTTAGAATGTGTGATGCAGGTAGAAGTATAAATTTAGTCGACCACTTTGTAAAGCAATTTGTAAATATGTATTAAAGAAGCTAGGGTTCTACTCTGAAGAAATATTCTGAAATGCAAACAAATATTTAAGTATAAAGATTTTCTTTTATAAAGTGAAAAACTAGAAATCTTAAATGTCTTCATACAAGAAGCACATGTAATATATTTAAGACACTGGAAAATAAATTCTTATGACCTAATAACAATGTGGAAAAAAACAGGCTACAATACTACATTACAGTATGATCTCATGTATAGAAAATAATTCTTAAAGAGTAAATAGCAGTGATAACAGTTGCTATCTCTGTTTATTTGAATTTCTTTGTTTTGCTATATTTTCTGTATTTTACAAGTTTATTGTTATAATTAGAAAAAAATTACAAGAGAAAGGAGGAAAAATAGAATGAAGGCAAAACTCTCTAATCATATAAGCTGAATAAGATGCAGAAAGAGAAGAGAAATTTAATCTTGGAGATATCAATTTGACCTGCAATTTCTTTACAGTCCAGCTAGCGTCAACGATCCAAATCAAATCAGGTGTGTGTTAGTTGACCACAGGGTCTATATGGTAGAACACCATGGCATTAGTGACCATCCAAGCAAATGCACTATTAGAATGCATTAATCCAATGTCCAGAATAAAGAAAGGGAGAGCTCTGCCCACTCTATACTCACCAAACCCTGTCCGGCGCGTGTGGTTAGTGCTGTGCACCACATCTGAAGAGGAATGGTGAATTAATAGAGTCTGTCTAAAAGAGGTGGTCACAGTGGTAAAATGTCTGGAAACCGTATGACTTCCCAGCTTAAAATTCCCCCTGGTTTTTTATTACTCTCAGAATAAAGTCCAAAATCATATAGGAACCTGCTTCATTTTGTAGGATTCTACCCTTTGATTACAGAGGTCTAGTCATACTTTTCAATCTCTTTAATGTATCAAACTCCTCCCCACTTCAGAACTGCTGCAAGTACTGCTTCACCAGCTTACAATGCACTCTGATCTCACTCCTCTTCCTCCCCACCTGGTCTCCTCCACACACATACTTTCTTGCCTGGCCAATTCCTACCTTCTTTCAAGTCTCAAATCAATTTCTTTCTTTCTGCAGGAATACTCTTTGACTACTCGCCTGAGAATAGTACCTCTGTTCTACACTTTTATTTTACCATGTATTTGATTAATTATCTTTCTTATGCCTGTATTTCTTGCTAGATAGTAAACTCTAATAAGGACAGTGCTGTGTGCCTTATTATGTGTCTTAGTCTGTTCAGGATGCTATAACAAAATATCGTAGATCGAGTGGCTTATAAATAGAAATTTATTTCTTTTAGCTATGGAGGCTGGGAAGTCCAAGATCAAGTTGCTGGCAGAGAACCCTCCTTCTGGTTTGTAGATAGCCAGTCTTCTTGCTGTATTCTCAC